ATGAAAGAAAAGCAAAAGGACTGGAGTGAATGTATGGATAGATGGATAAGTAGGTGGAAGGAAAGGCGGCCTTTTTTTTCCCCCCTGGTCCTGGTGTGTGAACTCAGGGCCTTGGCGCTTGCTGTCCCTTTGTGCTGAAAGCTAGCACTCTACCACTTGAGCCACGGTGCTGCTTCTGACTTTCTCTGAGTATTTTATTAGAGATAAGTGTCTCACGGACTTTTCTTTCCAGGCTGGCTTTGAACCAATATCCTCAGATCTCAGCCTCCTGAGATAGAATTACAGGCTTGAGCCACCAGTGCCCAGCAGGATGGAACTCTCTCATGTTAGCTCCTTTTCCTTTTGTGTTAGTCTTTTACAGCGCCTCCTAGTGGAGATGTAGCCTCCTCCCTAGGCACCTACTATACAGCTCGAATTTATTCCAAATCAGATTTTGCTAGCATGTTGCTTAAAATATTCTTGTAATTGTTGGAACCTGTACCTTAAAATACCGGTGAGGGCTGGGATGTTGGCTCAGTGGTAGAGTTGTTTGCCTTGCATGTGTGAGGCCCTGGGTTCAATTCTTCAGCATCACATAAGCAGAAAAAAGCTGGAAGTGGCACTGTGGCTCAAGTAGTAGGGCACTGGTTTTCTGGTGGTTAATTGGAGATAAGAGTCTCACTGACTTTTCTGCCCAGGCTGGCTTTGAACTGTGATCCTCAGATCTCAGCCTCTTGACTAGCTAGAATTATAGGAGTGAGCTTCCAATACCTGGCTCAACAGCCTATTAATACCTAAGTGCCATAGATTTCAATTCAAAGCTTGGCTACTCCTTAATGGAAGTTAGGATGTAGCAAAAGAAGGGACCTGCTTCTGTACCTCAAAGACTACCAGACAGAAGAACTTAGAGTGGACACCAGATATCTGCAGAAAGTGACAAATCCAACCAAACCTGGAAACAGAGCTGCAATGTGTGTGTAAAGGATTCTTGTACTGCCTGCCATTTTTTTGGCACTGAAACCTGGGAAAGAGTTTGAGTATCCAGCTGAAGTGAGGGGTGGGGGCAGCCACATTCCCAGAATCAACACTCATAAAATAAACAGTTTTAAAAGCAAGAGAGGGGCTGGGAAGGTGGCTCAGTGGTAGAGCGCTTGCCTTGCATTCCTGAGGCCCTGGGTTTGATTCCTCAGCACCACATAAGCAAAAAGAAAAAAGCCGAAGTGGCGCTGTGGCTCAAGTGGTAAAGCGCTAGCCTTGAGCTGAAGAGCTGAGGGACAGCGCCCAGGCCCAGAGTTCAGGCCCCATGACCGGACCCAAAAAAAAAATTCGTAAAAAACAAAACAAAACAAAACAAAAAAATCCCAGGGACAGTACTCTGATCCTGAGTTCAATACTCAGGACCAAACCAAATAAGTGGTTGAATATTTCTCAAATATTTTTCACTGTGACTTTTTAGGATATACATACACATACTTTAGCATAAAAGATTAAGTACAAGAATTATATTCTGTGGTTACGGATGTAGTTCATTGGCAGGAAGACTGATTCCAAAACATAGGAAGTTGTTGGTTCAGTCTATAGCTATACCAAGTGTTTGAAGAGAGAACAGGCAAAGCCAGTTTACTTTTCAAAGCTAGTTTACTTTTCAGAATATATATAAATCTCCTCAATGTTTTTTTCTCCACAGAAAGATTACCACATCCTTTCATTCAACAAATATTTCATTTCTGTACTGTCCAGGTTATGTGTTTTGTAATGTTTTTTTCTTACACTTAGTAACTTTCTTATGAAGGTACTTGTTGGTATTAAGGAACAGAATTTATCTTATGCAGAAAATTCAACACATTCCTTACAGAGAAATACATGTAGAAACCATGCTCTTCATGGATTTCTCATCTTGGTATATATCATTTTTCTAAGTATATCAGTACTTTGAAAAGTGTGCAGATATTCTAGGGAATAATAGAAAAATTACTGTTAAAGATGGAAAGGCATGAGCCAAGTGTGGTGGTTCACATTTATAATTCCAGCCCTCAGAGGCAGGAGGATAACCAGTTTAAGGCCATGCCAGGTTCCATCACAAGACCCTGAATCGAGAAAAAAAAAAATTGAAGTGTTTCATTCAATTCCTACCCCAACAGAGTAAATTGTGTACAAATTAAATTTTATACAAATTCAATGTTTGAATGTGTCCAGCATCACTATGGTGAAATCTGGTTGACAGTGATCAAGCTCTGATCTGATTCTTAAATTATACTATTAATTTTGTTTTAAAAAAAAAAAAGAAAAAGAAGGGGCTGGGAAGGTGGCTCAGTGGTAGAGCGCTTGCCTTGCATGCCTGAGGCCTGGGTTCGATTCCTCAGCACCACATAAGCAAAAAGAAAAAAGCTGGAAGTGGTGCTGTGGCTCAAGTGGTAGAGCGCTAGCCTTGAGCTGAAGAGCTGAAGGACAGTGCTCAGGCCCAGAGTTCAGGCTCCACGATCGGACTCAAAAAAAAAAAAAATGAGATATTTAGTGAAACACACCAAAAATTGTGACTGTCACTGTCAAACACATGCTGATAATTTGCACCTTTGTAGTTTTATCTTTATTGTGCCATAGGTACTGGTGATGAAGAAAACATAAATTAAATGAAATAAAACTCAATTTAAAGAAAATCTCAAAAAAAAAAAAAAAAAGAGTTCAGGGATAGTGCCCAGGCCTAGCACCAGACACACACACACACACACACACACATACACACAAAAGAATCTGAACCAAAATATCACATTTAAAGAATAAGTGTCAACAATGCAAAAGCTTGAGCAAAGCAGAGCTTTTCCCTGCAGGAAAGCCTAATAGGCTGTCAAATCAGTACCAAAGTCTACTTTGTAGGCTTCAAATCAGTAAGGGAAACTGGCAGAGTGACCTTAAATCAGGTTGTTATGAAATTTTGATAGCTGCATTCATCCATCTCCAGGCCAAAAAAAATCATCAGTGGGAAGTACAGGAAATCACCTCCCATCCTGTTACTCTCCCTTTATCCAAGTCACAGTGCAACTCTCGGTTCAGTTTTCCTGGCTTAGGATATAGATAACCAGTAGGTTACATCAGATAGTAGTTGGTGGCTTTTGTTTTCTTGTGTTTATTAGTAATAAGCATAATGACAACTCATTACTTTCCCCCACTCCTAGGCTCTAGGGTGAACTCATAGCACAGAGTACAGAAGCACTTGCAAGCAAGCACAGCAAGGACATGGGGGCAGGGCCACTGGGAATGAGCAAGACCCTTTGTTTCCTACCTTGTCACCTAAATTCAGCCCACATAGTAAAAACTTGATGAAGTTATTTGGTGAGGGATTTGAGGTATAAAGATATCATGTTCCTATTGGCTGGTTTGTGTTCATTTTTGTTAGTGATGTTCATTTTCTAGATGATTATAACAGCCAAAATCTCAGGTTCACCTTTCTTTATTCTTTTCTACTCAGAACATCCCATGATGTGAGCTATCCTGTTGTGTGGCTTTAAATTCATCAAATCGAGGGAACTGGGTACTGAGAAACCCAGTAACACTGCAGTGGTGTCTTGTTTTTTAACATCCTGTTCAGTATTTGTTGATGGACTGTGAGTAAAAGCACAACCCCATCGAATGCCCTTCTCTCACAAATGCTCCCCAACCTGCTTTGCCACCGCAGGACCAGGAGGAGTCGCTGCAGAGGCAGAGGTTTATTTCTTGATCACTCTCTCATTCATTCCTTCCTCCGTGCTGACAAAGCCACCACCAAACACAAGAGAACCAACTCCAAAGCTCACTTCCATTCTGCCTCATGCTAATGTGTTGAACGTATTGAGTTTCATTCTTAAAGTGCAGATAAAACAAGTTAAATTTGCTTTTTAAGCCTAGAGTAGGAGATAAAAAGCCTCAAAGAGTATCATTTCTGGGGCATCCTTCATAGCGGCCAAAAGAACTAATACTTTCATTACATCTGGTCATATTTTTAGTTGTCTCAAGATCTAGACCAAACATGGCTCAGTGCATTGTCTAACCTGCCTTCTTCTTCTAACCCTTAATCAAAAGCTTGCACCTTACTACTAGAACACCTGGGCCACCAAACGTTAACGAGACGTTTCACAGAAACCACTCCATGGCTTGACCATTGAGGGGTACCAAATGAAGACAGAGTAGTAACTCCCAGAATATATAAAAATATTATATATATATCATAATATATAAAAATATATTAAATATATTAAAAAAAATAAGACATTCCTAAATAACTTGAGAGGAGGGACAAGAGGGAAGAAATGGAGGAAAACGAGGGAAGGGGTGACAGGGCCCAAGCAGCACTGTACTCATAACTGGACTTACGGAATTGTAACCCCTTTGTACAACTACACCATCATCCTACCAGACTGGAAAAAAAAAAAAAAAAAGATATTCACCTATTGAGATGGAAGGGGTTGGCTAGTTGGTGAGCAGACCCACTAGTTTTTACATGAGACAAACCACTGAGTGCCCTTACAGGGAAATGTGTCTTTGCATTAACAAAAGCATGAAGAATCTGGCCACGTAAAGAAAATCACATCCAAGGAACACGTCGCGGCCCAGAGTCGTTCTTCCCGCTTCCGAGCATTTTTCTAGATAAATTTTCATCTAAAGGCTAGGAAAGGAAAAAAAAAAAAATGTCGGCCTTGACCTAAGCCCAATGGGCCAACCACAGCTTCTCGGGGTTGATGACCCCGGGAACGGGGGCGGGGAGGAGCCCCTAAAAAGAAGGGCGGCCCTCTGCCGTGCCATTGTTCCCACAATGCCGTGACTCGGATTCGAACCGAGGTTGCTGCGGCCACAACGCAGAGTACTAACCACTATACGATCACGGCGAGCTACCGGGACGCCACGGCCTGCCGGGCGCCAAGGGCCGTCCTTGAGGGGTGGAGAGCCGCCGTCCGGTCTTTCTCGAACTTTCCACGGAGGGAGCGCCAGCGGACCCCTTCCACCCACCCTGGGGTGGGGGGAACAGCGCCAGGCTCTGCCTGGGAGACCCGCGTACACCGCCGAAGTAGGGGGGGGGGGACGTGGGAGCGCTCGGCCGACGCCGGGACGCCGACGACGCCGGGCCCACCGTGACGTGCGGAGAGCCCGGGGTCGCCGAGGTCAGCGGGAGGGACTCGTCGTTCTCTCTCAACATGCTACGAGAAGGAATTCTGACCACAGCACCACCACCACCACCCCCCCAAAAAAAAGCAAACGCTATCTTAGAGAAACAGGGTGAAGGGGGGTGAAGTGTATCGCGAGCTCCGAGTCCGCCCCGAAAGCTGAGGAGAAAGCGCGCCAGCTTCGGCGGCTGCCGGCGCGGCGGCGAGGTTGCTGATAGGCGGGAACTAGCCGGGAAGGGGTGATGACGTCAAAAGGGGGCGGGACTCTTGACAGAGAAGAGACTAAGGGAGGCCGTTTGGCTCCAGGTTCCCGGTAGCTCGCCGTGATCGTATAGTGGTTAGTACTCTGCGTTGTGGCCGCAGCAACCTCGGTTCGAATCCGAGTCACGGCATTGTGAGAACAATGGCACGGCAAGGGGCCAGCGTTTTGTCCATCTCCTCCATTTTTTTTTTCTTTTTTAAACCCTCCATTGTAACCTACAGGAAAATGGATCCCGTTCCCTTGTTACAGGATAAAGTTGATTCACAACTGGACTACCCAAGGATTTGGGCTTCCTGGTTCCTAAGCGACTGGGGGACGCTTCGGGAGACAAAAGCACCGGGAACTCGCCAGGCTAACAAGTGAAAGGACATCGTCTCGCAGATTTCCACCCAAACGCCCTGGCGTGGATTCCAGATCGTTCTGGAAGAGGAGGCTCTTGGAAGGAAGTCTCCTGGAAGGTACCTCTTAAAAAAAGCAGAATATGATGAAACCCCTTTGTGCAAGGAATATGCACTTTAAAAAACAAATGCATGTCAGGAGACTAAAACAGGCTCGGGGGGGGGTCAGTTATGGGGAGGAGGGGGAATGGAGAGAGGAAACATGATTGCAGTTTTAGATGCATGCATGTCTGAAACCTGTTGGAATTGTTTCTGGAGGGGGGCTGGAGGGCAGAGGGGGAAAGTGGTAGAGGGGGTCGGTGGATTGGGATATCTTGTATGGAAATATCACAACCCCTCCCTTAATAGTGTATGCTAATAAAAAATATAAAATGATAGTGTGGGGGGGGGAAACGGGATAATTTAATATGCAGAGGCTTGCAGGGAGTGTGGACAAGGCGGTGTAGTAATTCCTCTTTCTGAGCGTTTCTCCCTAAATCTTCTTTATAAAGGCCCCCCACTGCTATAAGGCTCCCCCCCACCGGGGCCCGGGCCTCTCCCAGGCGCTCCTCAAGTACCTGTTGATTGAATGCAAGTACCTGGGGAGTGGGAAGCCGAGAAATGAGCTAGCAGAGCTTGTTGGATGTCCTGCGACTCTCGGGAGTGACAGCAGTGATCTGATGGTGTTCATCCAGAGCTCCCCCCCCCACCTCCGGTGTCCCCGGAGGGGCTCACTGGGGGCTGAAGACGCTGAACGAAGACTTCCATGGGGACCCTCAATTCATGTGTCAGAGACCGTGGGCGCATCCTCCGTTTCGTAAACAGTCATCGTCTATTGGATTGGGCCCAAAGGTGCTGGGGGGGGGGTGCGAGCAGGTGGACCAGAAGGGGGAGAAACAAAATCCGTGGAGGGGGGCGGGGGGGTCCCCTGCTGGCTGCAGGGAGGTGAGCATTCCTGGGCTTCGGATCGGGGGGGGCGGGGGGCATCGGGGAGTCCGAGAGGCTGCAAGGACTGGGTGCCGGGGCCGAGAGAGGCTGACTTCGGTCTAGTAACCGATCTGGGTCCGGGGGGAACGTCCACTCGCTCCGCAAGGCCTCGATGGGTCCCTGCTGCGAGGAAATCAAGCCACCAGGAGGCCTCCCCCCCCCTTCAGTCCCCCTCCACACCCCCCCCGGCCCCCCGCACACACACACTCCGGTGAGGATCGCCCCCTGCAGGCCTCTGGAAGCCTCTTGAAGACACCCGGGAGAGATGGGTCTGAGCCCCGCCACCACCCCCACCCCCAGCGGTCTCCCCTACCCCCTTCACCGGGAAGCCATGAGGATCGCCAGCACCACGCTCCTCCCCGCCTCTCCCCCACCCCCCAACCCACCCCAACTTCCCAGTAGCGTCATCCTCAGCTTCTCTGGACCAAAAAAAAAGAACCAAAACAAGAACCACCCAAGCCAACGGGCTAAGAGCGTAATGCGCCTGCGCACTCCCCACCGTCCGCGTCAGGCCGAAGCCCCGCCCCGTGGGTTAGTCAGGCGGTGACGTAGCCAGTGGGCCGGCCTATGAGTGTTGAAGAGGACTTTCGGAAGGCTTGCCCTACAGGTCCCCGGTAGCTCGCCGTGATCGTATAGTGGTTAGTACTCTGCGTTGTGGCCGCAGCAACCTCGGTTCGAATCCGAGTCACGGCATTGTGGGAACAATGGCACGGCAAGGGGCTCGCCTTCTTTTTTTTTTCTTTTTTTTCCCTTTTCCCCTCCTCCTCTTCCAGTCTAGACAAACTGGAAGCCGGTCTCTGATGAAAGGAACTGCCGCTCTGCTTTCCCCTGCGGAGAAGAAAAGATCGCCACCTCCTGTCTTTCCTTTCCAGGTTCTGAACGTGGCTTCGGATCAGCTTCTTCTCCCTTCCTGACTCAAAGTCAGTGTCCAAATCGTTCCACGACAATGAGCTCCCCCGACCCCCCCGCCCCGACGTGGTGGGGTTCCCTTCCTCGCTCTCCCTCCCCAGCTTCTTCATGCATTATTTAAAATTGTGTCATCCATTTTTCAATAGAATATCTGCACACGCGGTAGTGAAAAGGATCTTTCTCATGCCACCAATGATTGCCAATTGCTGGGATATATTTGCCTTGACAGTCCTTGTGCAAACAGATGTTTATGTACATAGATGTGAATGTATTCCTGTACTTCTTGCATAAAACATAAATAGTCTATCCCCCCCACACACACACCCTCCAGAATGATGTAATAAGAACAGAATTCGAGGTGACAGATTTTCCCTTGGGTAGGCAATCTCTCTTTATGGGGAAAAGTACACACACACACACACACACACACACCACCTTCCATTTAGCTAGGGAGGGTGGGGACAGTTTGGAGTAGCCAAACAGGGGGGGGGGGAATTCTTTATTGTAGCCATTAAAGCCTTTTTTTTGGGCTCCTTTTACAAAGCAATTTTGTTATTTGATTTTTCAGGTTGGGAAACCAGGGGAGCAGCTTGAATTGGGAGTACAGAAGACCAAGTTGACTTGGCTGTCCATCTGGGAACCCTCTATTCACCCCCCTCCCCCCCTCCCACTCCCCCCCCTCTTATGGTCGAAATCCAATTTAAGTCACAAACCACCAAAGTTTGAAAAATCAAGTGGATTGTAATCAGGACTGACTGAGTCCTCAAGTTTGTGTTTCAAGCACACGGCCTCTCCATAAATATTTAAACTGAAGGTTTGTTTGTTTAGTTTGTTTTTCTTAGTCAGGGTCTCACTGGGTTAACAAGGTTGGCCTCAGACTCACAGATCTCCAGTTTCTAGGTACCTGGAATTACAGTGATACCAAATGCCTGGTTCTGGGGGGAGTCTACAAATGAATGAAGTGGCCAGGTTTGCTTTAGAATTGCATATATTAATTGCATATTTAAATAATGAATCATGCTATTTTCATATTAAATAGAACTTGTCTGTGAGCCCACCAAAAAAAGATAAATTCACTCTCCCATTTTTCTTCTTCTTTTTTTTTTTTTTTGGATCCGGTTGTGGGGCCTGAACTCTGGGCCTGGGCACTGTCCCTCAGCTCTTCAGATCAAGGCTAGCGCTCTACCGCTTGAGCCACAGCGCCACTTCGGGCTTTTTTCTTTTTGCTTATGTGGTCCTGAGGAATCGAACCCAGGGCCTCAGGCATGCAAGGCAAGCACTCTACCACTGAGCCACCTTCCCAGCCCCCTCTCCCATTTTTCTAGTAACATGTAACTGTAGGTCCTCCCTCTCTTGTCCCTCTCTTTCTTTTCCTTTCTTCCTCCTTTCTTCCATCTTTCCTTCCTTCTTTTTTCCTTCCTTCTCCTATTCTTAACAAGGATATGACTTGGAAAAATATTTCATTTTCCTCTTTACAGTAAGAGGAAAAAAATGAAGGTTGGTGGTAAAAGCAACTAGTTGCGGGGCTAGAAAGGTGGCTCAGTGGTAGAGTGCTTGCCTTGTATGCCTGAGGCCCTGGGTTTGATTCCTCAGCACCACATAAGCAAAAAGAAAAGAGCTGGAAGTGGCGCTGTGGCTCAAGTGGTAGAGTGCTAGCCTT